CATTATGAGAGAGACTAACATCAAACCAGCAAACTGCTACTGCCACCTGTTAAGTGGTGTTTCCAAAATGTGTCAGAGCACATCCTGTGCTCTGCCATCCTGGTGCCCTTTGCACTGTCTAAAAGGAAAACAATAAAAAACACCATGAAATAAAAATGTGACTTCATGAAACCAGGTTAATCCAAATACATCTCCTGAAACTCAACAGAAGTGCACTGCCATGGAACAGCCTTCCCATGGAAGGAGCTAACTCGGCATCCCCATGGCAGCATCCTCAGCCTGTGTGAGGCACTGTGTAAGGTGGAGCATGCAGAGGTCACTGTGCTGCATGCAGGGACAGAGCATGGAGACTTGGCCCCAAAATGCTAGCCCTGGCCATCCCCTACTGCACTGCCCTGCCTCTGGAAATGAGTTAGAAATCAGATAATCAAAGTAAAGGTGAGTGAACAACCAGCCAAGAGGCTGCAGGGACTAATCAATCTCCAGTGCAGGATAGCGCAGGGCAGGGTGCGAGGCACAGCTTCCCCCAGGACGCATTCCCACACCACCTGCATACCTTCCCATCCTTTTACTTCCATACTCTAAAATTTTGACTCAATGTGGCTTATTGATTTAGCCGTGCTTTGCCTGACCTTACCGAGCAATCTGTGCTCTTTTCAAGTGCCACTTTGTATTGACTCTGCTGTGGAGCTATGACTCCTATAATTGGTTTAACAGCTCTTTGAGGCCACTTTGCTTCTGATAAGATACCCACACATCCACAGAGAATTTAAAACAGTTTTGTTGTCAAAAACAATTACTCCAGGACCATAAAAAGTAGCATTTCATGCCTACAGTCCCCCTACAAACAAGTTGAGCAACACCAAACGGGTTAACCAATGGGTTAACAAGCTGAGCAACACCAAAGCAGGAGCTGGACATTGACAGGGATTCACACCGTCCCCAGTCCTCAAACCCCAAAACCCACTGACTTCAGCTGATGATGGTTTTGATAGTTAGGAGCTGCTCAGAGCTGAACAGTAAGTGAAACTTTCTTTTCTGTAGGGACTCCTCTCCATATTTAGTGGCTTTCTACCAAATACATACTGAAGTTAGGATCTTTCTAAGCAATGCATGATTCCAGTCCCCAGTACTGTGTCCTGGTACTCAAAGGTTACACCAGCATTTTAGAATACACACTAATAGTTATCGGAAAACACAGAAAAACACCTCACCCCCAAAACAGAACCCCCAAACCCCAGACAACAGCAACAATGCCCATGCTTGGAGCAATGGCTACATGACCATTGCATTAAAGCCAATGAAACTCAAGGAATGGTGAAACCTGGTAAGGACCATATTGCACACAGGAAACAACATGCTGCATTACCAAACCAACTCTATAAATTATAACTGACCATGTGTTTTATGAGTTTTTTGATAATGGACAAAGAAACTGACTGAGTAAATGCAAGCTGTAAGAAGTTTGAGAATCCACTTTTTCCATGTGCCAACTCCCATACTCCTCATGTTTTATCTCCAATCTGTAGCACAAACTCTGATATCTGGCCTTCGTCAAACCATGCTACTTCCCTCCAGTCTGCTGCAAATGCTACTGCTTGAATTATTTGCCTTTTATGAATTACTTGCAGCATCCTTCTTTTTTTTCCTGTTGCTGCTATTTTCTACACTGAACAAGGTAGGTATTTTCAATATGCTTTCTACCAAACAACATTATGCTTGTATTTATTGATAAAATAAATCCATACAATGAAATTCACAATGTTATATATAACGCCATTTCTCAGTTTAAAGGATTGTGTTGCATGAGACTTTCAGCAGGTGCAATTTCCATTTCAGCAACGACCTGGGTGGCTAAGCTTAGCACAATATTTTCCAGAGAAAATACCTGACAGGAAATCGCTAGCAATCACAAAAAAAAGCACAATCACCTCTCCCTTGCTCAAAAAGGAGAGACAGAGAAGAAAGCAAAGCAGGAAAGCCACTGCAGCTCTGTCTCTGTGTAGAGCAGAAGGGGGAAAGAGCCCCAGGAAAGCCATTGATGGAGAGCTCAGTTCTGGCACTGTGCCTGGGTCAAATGTGCTACCCAACATGGGGCAGTGCTGGTCAAAACACAGCAGCTTTCAGTCCCAGGGACTGCAGTCAGTCTCAGCAGCATTGGAGGAGCTTGGGCTGTGACAATCAGCAGGTAGTGTAGTCCCTTAACCCCAGCACACCCCTTCTGTGGGCACACCAAGCAGCAGGAGCACAGCAAAGAGAAAAGCTGTTTCTGTTGCCCAGTTTCCTCTTCTGTGCTCTGTGTGAAACCGAATTAATCATCATTTCTTTTGCTCTCCTACACACATTTGTACAAGAATCTTACACTTTCAAAGAAGTACAGGGTAATTCAGCTCTATGACTACATGGAAACCATAGTTTTTGCTATGAAATGATCTTGAATGCTGGCAGCAGCCTTTGAAATTCTTTGGGTCTTTCTATCATCTGGTTAAATCTTTGCAGACAACAATTTAAAGCACTTCATCTTGGTCACCTGCAGGCCTAAGGCACTCCCAGGCAGCGAGCACAAAAGCTTCACTGTACTCCCTGCTCCAGACCAAAGTTACAAATGGGCCCAACTGTGTTTAAAGCTGCTTACGCTGTTTCTTATCTCTCCCTCAACAGGGAGAACAGAGATGTTTGAAGCAATTGTAAGGCTTGGCAGACCTCTTTTTCAGTTGAAATTAATTCCCTTTAGGGATGCAGTGGCTGCCTGTAAAGCCCATTGCAGAGGTGAGATGATACATGAAAACCTCTACAACCTCTGCTTCCACCTGAGTGATCCCCTCTACCACCAGTGAACTGGGGCCAAAACAACTGCAATTTCTGTACACCATTTCCTGAATAGCAGAGAACAAAGCTCTGGTGCAGGCATCTTCCTACGGAACAGGCTTGTAGCCAGATCAGACTTTCCCGAATGATATCGCTGTCCTGCAATTGTACTTCAATAGCCTGTAAGTTTGACACTACATGTTTGGAAATTATGCCCCTGGCATAAAATGAGATGTTAGCTGGGATCTGACATTTGCTCACTCATTTAAAACATGCAATAATTTTATCCGCAGCAGTGAGCTTGCTCAAGTCTTGTGTTAAAGAACAAATATTAAATGAAGACAGAGGTGGAAAAGAGGGAGCAAGAAGTCAAAACTATTTCTGGCACAGGGGAGCTTGTGCTCAGTAAGTGGGGATAACTGACTGTACAGTACTAAATCCATGCAAAATCTGTCAGAGAGCATTTGAGGTGAGGCCAATGATGCCTAAATTCAGCCAGAGTATGCCCCAGGTGAGGAGACATGGCAGTGGTTTCCTCTGGGCTGAAAAAGTAGATGGGATGAGGCCTGGGGAGGGTAAAAAACCATTATGACAACAGTTCAGGACAGCCTAAGACTTTCACTTCTCCCTAAAGGCTAGGCTTGCAGGTATTTGCCAAAACACTCTTAAATTGCAGCTATCTTCAGACAAGATTCAGAAAGAAGTAGGTCCAGAGAGATCTCTATCACTGAGCGTTAGCTGAAGCCACTTGGGCAGCAACCTCCTGAGACCCAGGAGGTACCTGAAGTTGTAATGCTCAGTCACTCACAGTGATTTAGCCCTACACATCATAATAGCAGGTCCTCTTGACTACTGTTCACTCAAAACACACAGCACAACTAAGGTTCTCCTTTTTTAAATACTGCAGACTGAAAAGTCTTTTCTTGCCAACAGACTTTCCAACAAAGTTTAGGGAAATGGTCACAATGTCTTCTTGCTGTTTATTATAGTGTGCTTTCTCCAAGGTCACCATCCCCACCAATAAACATAAAAAGGAGAGTGACTTTCTCCCTATTGCTTTGTGCAAGACAAGAGAGATGCTGTTCACATTTGTACCTAAACTACCACAGCACCCACTGCAGCATGCTGGATTAGGACCCCAGCTAACTGCTGGTCCCTGCAGGGCTGATATTGTATATTTACAAAAAGCACTTTAAACCTGATTTCTGTTGGTGGCAAAGCCCAAAGCTGACCAAGTTTTGCATCTCTTCATATGCACATCTCCGATTGCCAGGGTGTATTTTCCTAAGCTGCCCACCTCATTTCCTCAGCTGCCAGTGCTGGAGCAGCTGAGAGCACAGGATGGGATCAGTGCCCACTGGAGCTCCGTGACTGACACACCATAGATTCCCCTGCAACATCTGAAGTCTCTCAAAGCCAATGGAAATCTGTTGAGTTTGACAGCACTTTACATGAATTCATTTTCTTAACAATTTAACTAATGGATTAGAACCTAATATCTGGATGCTTTTTCTTAAGTCACTTATGTGTAACATTTTGGGCTGGCTTTTGGTGAAGGAATGCCATAGGCTTAAGTGGACCTCACTTATAAACAGAAGTGACCTGGCATTCACTCCAGGACTGGCTACACCCTTGCCATGAATCATGCAGTAAGTTTACCTGCGTTAGTTTAAAAATAACCCATGTTGAATGCAGTGTCAGTCTGGTTTCAGCACCCAGAGCTCAGGACCCTGTGGTGTAAATGAGGCTACCGCCTGTGAAGCAGAGAACTCACTCATCAGGCTATGCGCTGCCCTCAGCGCTGAACTCCAGAAGCACAGGAGTATATTTGAGTACTTTTTGACACTTTTTTTGCTTACACCTTCTATTAAAAATTATTTAGCTAAGGGATGCTTCTTTCTGGACAATATGACAGCTAATTCTCACCCTACTGAAATGACAAAACTGAAACATATGCAACACTAAAACTCATGGCTAATGTGATTGTTATTGACCATTTGCCAGTTTATCAAATGAATAGCCCACCAGCTAACTGGAGAAGGAGAAAAGTGCTATATATATATATCATGTCTCACTCACAAACTAACTGGATAGCTCATTTTAAAATCTATGTAAAGCTGACCATCAGTATGTAGTTTATAACTGTTATCAGTCCTCTTGTACCAGATGTATGTTTGTTCATCTTCACCTACCTTTTCAGCTGACTGGGCAGTGCCAAAAAATATTGGAATGAAGGCAAGCCATACTATACAGGTAGTGTACATAGTGAATCCAATGGGTTTAGCTTCATTAAAATTCTCTGGGACACCCCGAGTCTTGATGGCATACACAGTACATGTAACCATTAGAAGAATGCTATAACCCAAGGAACAAATGATTTGTAGATCCGTAATGTCACATTTGAGAACTCCTCTGGCTTGATCAGGGTTCATAGTTTTCTGCTCATCATAATCTATGATGATGTTGGGTGGGTCAACTGCAAACCAAATAAAGACACCTAGAAGCTGAACAGATATCAAACTTGACGTGATCGCCAGCTGCGATGTGGGGCTGATAAGCCGAGGTGCAGTCACAGACTTTTTGCCCTGTTCAAATATGCGGTAGATGCGGTTTGTTTTAGTTAACAGGGCTGCATAGCTGATGCACATCCCCAAGCCCAGGAAGATACGCCGGAAGGAGCACACTGCAACGTTTGGTTTGGCAATCATCAGAAATGTGATTATGTAGCACAGAAATATCCCTGTTAACAGGACGTAGCTGAGTTCCCTCCCAGAAGCGCGGACAATGGGAGTGTCGTTATATCTGATGAATGTTGCCATGACAAAAATGGTGGCAATAATTCCCAGCATAGCTAAGAAGACAGGTATCACAGCCCAGGGTGAGTGCCACTCCAGCTTGACAATGGGTATTGAACGGCATCCTGTTCGGTTCTCGTTGGGCCGCTCGCTGTATGAGCAGAGCAGACATGTCACCTCGTCAGCCTGGTACTGATAGCCATCACAGAGCTCACAGTGCCAGCAGCATGGCATCCCCTTCACCATCTTCTTCCTCTCTCCCGGCTTGCAAGGCAGGCTGCAGACCGAGGACGGGACTTCACGCACGCCTTTGCCCCACTGCATTTCATCAATCTGCAAGGTATGTGAAATAGGAAGAGGCTGGTTATTTAGACATTATTGTCAGTCAGCTGGGGTGGGAATGGAAAAAAGGAGGACCAAGGGGGAACCTACAACAGAGAAAAGCCAAAAGTATAAACTTTATATGTGGTAGACTCCAGGAAAAGCAGCAGGAGCCCCACAGTCTTCACATGGGACTCTAATGCATGACTGTATTTGGTGCCTTCATTTTCCATTTTTATTAGTAGCTAATTCTGATGGAATGACACACAACATCAGATAATACACTAGTGTGCTAACCTCTTGTTTCATGAAAACTGTAAGAAAACTGCAATGGCTTGAGGGAAGGCAGCAGTTACATTCACAGGACTGATTTCCATGCATCTAAGAGCTTGAAGCTTCTTACCAAGACCACAATAATATATCTTCCTTCTTGGAACTACTACTGATCAGGTTAATACTTTAAATTAGGTGGAAATATGTCTTATATAGGGCATGGAATCAGTGAGAATGTGGCAAGATCTGCAAAACAAGCCATGTAAGAAATATGAAGGACAATAAAAATTGTCATCAATGAAAAATGCAATAATTAAATAATATTTAACTTCAAAGTCACATTCTGCTTTTGAAAGGCCAGACATGCCTCTGGGAATGCAAATTATAAACTATTATATTAAATAAATGGCAAGTCTCACTTGTTCTGCAGTCTCAAGAACCCTGAACTCCAAAGTATGTGCAACAAAGGCCCCAAATTGTGCAGAAAATTAAACTCAAAGAATTTCTAAATATTCTAATCTAAAGCCAGTTTCCAAGAAGAAGCGAGGTTTAGCATTGAATTCCCCAGAAAATGTCAGTAGCTGCAACAGCTGTGTGGCTGGTGTGTGTGTGGCTTTTCCAAATATAAAACCTGATGATATCCTGGGATAGATGCAGGTGTTATTAAAAACAAAATTTCAGCTATTATTTCTTTAGGTTACTTAAACGCTTACAAGCTCCGCTATTTTCCCTACAAGTAAAAAATTCTAAGAAGAGATTCTTGAATCAGCTGCCTTGATTATTAATGTATACAGGAAGAGTGAGGTTTGCAAGTCTTAAATTGGAGGATTAAGTTGAACTTTCCTAATTTAATTCAAAGCAGATTCTGTATCATCTTCATTTCATAGAATTAAAAAAAACCCTAAAGTCACATCTGCTCAAATACTATACCACCAAGTCTCTGCTGTGAGTGCTATAAAAATAATCCCTCAATAACAGATATTCTAGAGGTCTGCCACTGCTTGCGAAACTTCATTAACCTTCAATATTCACAACTTATTCTGAAAAAAAATTTGAATATCCATGAAGTCTTCTTTCATACTGTGCTGAGCTGAAGCTATGTAGCTTACAGAAACCAAAGGATGATAAAGGAGAGTAAAAAGACTTGCTTAACTGCACTGGTAAATGGTAGTTTTGTCTTACTGGAAGAGCATGCAGAAGAAGCCTGGAAATCCATTTCTATGCCTGCCTCTGTCATTGCTCCGACTGAAGGTTAGCAAACCCTTTACAAACCTGAAGTTGAATTCCTAGGTTGCGTGCATGCCTTGCAAGAGAGCTGCTGTAAGCTGGCATGTTCTGAGTAACTCACTTGCTGCAGAGGCACAATAAATGATCTTAGCCGGAAAGAAAACCAAAGAGGTAGTGAGCAAAGAGGTAGTGAGCAAAGAGGTAGTGAGCAAAGAGGACCAGTGCCAAGATTTCTGACCCATAAAACAGGGGTAAAAATTTCATAACAATTGCTTTAGAAACCCACTGACCAACAGTTTGCTGCTTCTTTTACTCCATCGCTGACTTGTATCTCACCTTCTTAACAGATAGACTGGTACAGGGTAACTATAACTTACCAGGGCTTGCACAGCTAGAAAGCAAGACACATAGATCCAGTCCAGATTATTTATTTTTCATCATAACTATTAAACACAGAAGTTACTTGATGCCCTTTTCACAGCATGCATTGAAATGAATTGAGAAAGGCATCTTAACTGTGTGGATTTCAATCTAGTCTGCAAGTGATGAAAGGATTTTCATCAATTTTCTGCAGGCTACTATCTCACAGAACCACAGAATTATTAATGTTATCATTCCCCCACCCGCTCCTTATGACTACAAAAGGATGAATTTCCATAGTCTCAAATGCATTCCATGGCATCGCTGGGTAGTTGGGACACCCTAAAGGTACTTCACTCTGCACAGATACTGTGTGTAAAGAGATAAATAGAAGATCAGGCAGAATTATGGAAAGTCCTTTTTCTCGTCTCCTGGGATGATGCCAAGCCAATTCTGCATCACTGCCGTCAGAAAGATTTGCAGCGTTCTGCTGCTTCTGGAGAGAAAATTAATGATGAAAACTGCCTGTCTGATAATCTACCTGGCACAAGAGCCTGGTGCTGAGAGACGAGAATCAAACTAGAGACACTTTCTCCACCCAGAAAATAATATTCCTGACAAAAAATTGCCTTTGAAATGAATAATTGTTTCATCACTTCTTTCAGAATGCAAACAAACCTAATAAAATGTTAATCTGTGCATTTGGCTGCTTTAGGATTGAATAATTGTGCCTGATGTACTTTTTCCTGTCCTTGTTTTCCCCTCCATCCTTCTTCCATTTTTACTGCAGTTTCCTTGAAATAACTTAGCTTTTGAGAACCTGGATCTAACAAAGACTTCTATTGCAGCAAGTAATTGTTATATTCAGCCACTTCTTTCATTTACTTAGATCTAAACCTCCTCAAATTCAATGACTTTTTTAGTCACTATGACCTGGAAACTGCTTACTTAAAGTTCTTGCTGAGTTCAGAGTTTCAAGATCAGGATCATAAAACTCTGATAATCAGCAAGGATAACTTTTCTTCACTACTACTGTAAGAGGACTTTCAACAAAACTAAAATAACAGAGCGTTTCTCTCAGGAGCAGGAAGTGCAGCAGTGGCTTAGTCGCTTCTTCCACAGGAAGGTAGCCATGGTGCAGCCCACTTCCATGTCCTACCCAAGATCTCACTGATGGCAAACCAGCAGCAGGAATATCTGAGCAGCATTTGGAGACAAAAACCACAGGAAAAGGAGCCGCAGACTGCCATGACATGTCTAAATTTCTTGTTTTTAAGGGAGAGATGCAACAAAAGTAAAAATGGTTTTGAGAATGACGATTTCCAAACCCATTGTTTCAAAGCACAAACAGTCTTGCCTGCCAAGATTCACAACTAAACCACATCTACTAAAAACACAGATTAAAAGGTTAACTAGAGGCAGGGCAGACCCAGCACTAAGGAAGTCCATGCTCTTCTGCTGACACTGCCCCCAGGCCAGTTTGATCAACTTGGGCAAGGCACTTCACCTATGTTTTTTCTTCCATTTGCCCACCTATGAGCTGGAGGTACTGCCATTTATGTTTGTAACAAAGACCTATAAAAATCTCTGAGAGCCACAGAGGAAGAGTGCTATGTATTTATAAATCCTACATTTCTATACGCAAATATAATAAACTCTTAACCCAGAATCAAAAAGTGATTATGAAAATGCTAATCATAATCTAGAAAGCAGTAAGTAAACAATTTCATAAATCATCAGACAAGTCTTTTGCAATTAATACAAAAGTTGCTTTTATGTAGAACTTTCCATTTCAGTCATACATAGAAACAGCACACAGAGGGTAACTGTGCTAATGATAAACTTCAAAGTTGGCCCTGCTTCGTGGTACTTGGCTCCACTATGTTTAACTCGTGCACTATGTTTTGCCCTACCACTACAGTACAGAGGAAAAACTCAAAACTGAAAAAACAAACAAAAAAGAAAACAAAAAGCTCCCTTCCAGATCCAGTGCCTTCCTTCCCCACAACCACAGGGCAATGAACTGTCTCAGTTAGGGGTTAACTCTAATTCTTATTTTCCTCAAGCTGTCCCAACTCCTACGTATTGCCCAGTTCATAAATGCCTCGAGCTAGAAGGATGGGATCTATTTCCAATATAAACTCTCATTATGTTCACTACAGAACAAACATTAACAAGAAATGCTTAGTCTGTCTCATAAGGCCCATCATAATTGTTCATTTTAATGAATAAAGTAACTCAATATGTGTATATAATTTGAACACTGCCGCTTTATTTCTCACCACCACAAACATTTCTATAATGAGCTATTTGTTCTGAACTAAATTGTTCTGTGCAATGTTTGATTAAAATAAAAATCAGTACAAAAATAATTACATTAGTGATAATTAACCTACTTGGGGAAAAAAAATGGCCACGTTCCCTGGTACAACTCTCATAACTGTGCCATTAATTTCATGGACACATTAGAAAACAATTGTGGAGGATTGTGCTCAGATTTATTGCCACCTTACAGGTTGCTTTTAGACTCTAGTTACTAAGTCAGCAGTTCAAACAGTTTTTGTATGTTCAACTTTACAGATAGCTATATTTGCATGACTTAGCTTTTAGGGCTTAGCTATTAATGTTTTGTAATTAGTTTCTAAATCCAGGGCTTTAACATGCTAATGGATTTAAGCTAAGAATATGTCAATAACACATAGTTAACAGAGCCTTCTGCAAAATATCAACTAAAATCCCTTCAACTGATAACAGCAAGATAAGCCAAACTACAGATAAGGATGCAAAGCTACTCCACTGGCTTGACCAGGCCATGTAAAGAAGGTGTTTCACCTCATACTGTAACTTATTTCAATTTCACTGCCTGCATGGAATTGACAGAACAGCCTTAAGACAAGAGCAGAGCCGACAGGGTGAGGGAGGCAAAAAATCCCAAGAGTTTCTGCTTGCCACAAACAAATCACTGCATTCTGAGCAGTGCAGGAACTGTGCATTTTCAGGATATGCAAAAAAATCCCCAGAAACTACAAAAACTCTATTGAAAGAGAATGATGATTTTAACAGAGGCAGTTCTGCTCTGGGTAACAACTGCACCCCTTCCCCTTCTGATGGGAGCCAAAGCTGTGGTCCCACCCAGCTCCTCCAATAGGACC